ATCATTGTAAAATAAACCTAAGAAATTATATCGGTGAAAACTGCTTAATTAATTTTACGCTTTATACCATTAAAAAGTCTTAAAACATACATCGCTCTATATATTGATGCGCGTACATTTGACATAATCTCGTTACTTACTTTCCAGACTATTTCAGTCTATTAATAAAAATTCGAATTAAAATTAGGTCACAATCAACGTCTGGCAGTTATATATCAACACATTTTTATATCATGACTTAAATACCAGATGCAGTTGTAAATACAGTGAAACTAAAGATGGAAAAGTATTAAAAAGATTCAAATATTTAGAGATTTATCGTTCAAATTTATTCACTTTGATCATTTTTTTATTTTAATTAAATATAAATTTTTACTTATTTTGCTGATTCTCACCCACATCTATTGTATCTTTCAGCTACTTTACTATCCCATAATTGCTGCATTTTTCTTTTTATACTCGAATACCTTAAAGTACTGATTCTCATCACTCATTAAGCCTTTTTTTCGGTTTTCCTTGATTTTATTGAACAATTTAACAAGCTATAGTCTATTTTTATGTATGAGAGAGTATTAAAATAATAAAGCGATCGTAATCCATAGGCGTACCACTTTTTTTAGTAGACAGTTAAAATATTTTTTGAAGTTATTCCTCGAGTATACTTATATTTTTACCTAATTAATCTGCTTATAACTTCTAAACAGCTGAAGGTAAAAAAGTGCAATTTTTTCTAAAATGTTTTATTTTTCCACAAGGTATGTTAAGAACATTGTGTCAAACGGGTTATGTAGGTATAAGGGTTTAAACTTTGACTTTTAAACAACGTTACGTTCATAAATAATAATTTTAATATAAAAACTACTTCTTACCTACAAATCCAAATCAGAATCGAAATCAGAAGATGAACTGTCGCAAACAATATTTACAATGAGTGGCTCGATCATTTCATCAGTAATATTGTCCAACTTCCACATTTTCTCTTCTTCTTTAATCGTATGATTTACTGCCTTTTCCCAGTTTTCAGGCTTCACATTATTTACAGCCTCCAAAAACAACTGTTTAACATCACTCATTTTAAAAGAATTATTTTTTCTTGAAACTTCTCCCTTTATCTGTGCCCATATCAGTTCAATCGGGTTTACTTCGCAATGATATGGTGGTGATCTAACCACCGTCATCCCACGATTTTTTGCAATTTCATCAATTTCATATTTTTTTAATTTCTCTTCATGAAGGAAACACAAATGATACAGTTCTTTTCTCACAGAACTTAATATTCTTTGAATTTAGCCAATTCTGTAAATCTTTTTTTAACCACTTGGTTGTAGGCATTTTTTCTATAAGTCTCGAGTGATAACTTGCATTATCCATTACTATTATACAGTTCTGAGGAAGAAGATCTATAATTTGTTCGAACCACTCTTTAAAGACCTCATGGTAGTCACCGGTACGAGTAGATTCAAAAGTCAATAAACCACCTTTAACAAAACCGTTTCAACTACCGATGTGTACTATTATTAGTCTGCGCCCCTTTCCTGATGGTGGATTTAAACCAGTAGATAAATTATTTAAAAAAGCCTGTTTTCGACTTGTAACAGTTTCATCTTGCCAAAATTTATTTGGTTTATGTCCCTCGTTGATCCATGTTTCATCTAAATAAAATATATTTCTTCTTTGATTTCTCATTTCTTTTATAGTCCTTAGGTAATTTCTCCTCCATACTACAATATCGCTTCTTTCTATTAAAATAGACTTTCTGGAATGCTTTTTTCATAGAAAACCTATTTCTTTTAAAAGTTTTCATAGTGTGCTTCTACTCATTTCAGGGTAATCCTTATCATCTCGAACCGTGACAAGAACTTTGTCTACTGTCGGAAATTCTTTTCTAAAGAAGAACGCATGCACTTTCCTTCGAAGTCTTTCTTTCAAAAGATTTTCTAATTGAAATTTTGGTTTTCCTGGAGCTTTACATGCTGTTTGAAACTCGCCACATTTCTCTTCTTTAACAACTCTGAAAATCGTAGATTTCCCAACACCAAGCGTACTACTAACTAATTCCACTGTGTCATCAACACTTTTACATAAATGTTTGTCTGTAAATGATTTAAAACAATTAAATATTAATGTTTTTTCATTAACTGTTAAAGGACCGATTTTTTGTCGTTTACGCGGCCCTTTCAAATTTTCCATGATCACACTAGAATTCACACTGCACCTTGCAAGTTGCAACTAAACGACATTTAGTAAACTGTCAAGAATACACAACTTGGACCTCCTTACTAAATGGAAAATCTATAATCGCATTTTCGGTGAAATTTGTTGGGAAGGTATTTATCTACTTATAATTCGATTACTGTAAGAAATTCTTGGAACTAAAATAAAACAAAATTGGCAAATAGGTACTTATTGAAAATAATCTTAAGATACGGCTATGTAATATTTAATACACAGGGCTTTTGGCCTGTCCAAACCTTTTTCTATTGTTCTGTACAGCTTATGTTTATAAAGGACCAATAAAAGACCCAAAACTTGTAATAGCTCAGGTACATTTATTACAATTTTAGGAAATATTTAGATTATTCTGTAAAAATATTTAAAATGACCGTACTGAGTTTTGCATTAGAAATGCTGTTTTATCACTCTCTCATACATAAAAATAGACTATAAAGGAGAATGATTCCATTAGGGTATATGTATATTCCATTACCCTTTTTTGCCTAACCCTTTAGTTTATTTAACATTATAGTTGTCTATTAGAATATGACTGGAAATATTTGCAAACACCACTAAAGAAGTTATCTCTGAAGTTATCCAGTAATCCAGTTGTATAGCAGGAAATTTCTCATTTTATCGGTATTGTTACGTTCCTGAATTCCCTCACTTTTTAAACAACCTCTTTCTTTTTATTATTTAACATAAAACTTTTGCTGACCACCACGATGTTCTATTCTCTACAAATTTATTACCTGATGTTTCTCAACATTTCCTCAACTCCAGAGTTTATATCCCAAACTGCTGTATTGAGTAGTTTACGAGACATTGAGTTGAGTCGTGCGGTAATATGCTCTGATAATTTAGTGTTAAACAGTGTGATTTAATGTTAATTTATGATTACTTCCAAATAGCGTTAATAATAAAGATACCATCTATTGGTAATGGACAATAAGTAAATATTTAAGTGCAGATATGGCGATTCATTCCTGCTATGGTATATGTAAACGATAATTTCGTATGCCCTGCTGCAATGTATCAGTTAATATTATCAAATATTTAGGGAAGATTCCTGTTATTGATTGGTATTGCGTTGATTGCTATACGGCCCTAAAATCATGTACTAGTTTATCAAAAATTTAACCGAGGAAGAAATAGTAAATAACATAAATGTCTTTGGGTACTAGCCAACCTTGTAGTGGGACTCTGGTGGGATTTGACTGAACTCTCAAACACTGTTCGCAAGTTTTGCTCAATTGTTCGATGTCCCTGTTTAGAGACGTCAAAGAACACATTAATTGGCGCGCCGCTCACAAACAAGGTTGCCAAACCAGTGTTGCCAGTCTAGTACAATTCACAATTGTACTAGATGTAGTACATTCTGCGTGCATCAGTGTTCACGTGTAAAATATATATTATTGTATTCCTTGTTTGGGTTCGTTATCAATAAAGACCTCCTTTTTTTTCCCTTCAATGAATTAGATGTCACTGCAAAAAGATTTCGAAAAATCTGATACATTTAAGGAATCTGGTACATTTTTTAGACAAATCTAGTACATAACAAAAACATATTCTGGCAACACTGTACCAAATCAAACAAGCTGTCACTGTCATTAGTGTCATTCCTCTGCTATTAAATACTTTAAATAAAAACATAAGATTATTTTAATTGTGCTTATTTAAAAAAACTGTGTTTGATTAAGACCTGTGTCTTCAATAAATTGAAAGTATGTGTGCCAATTCAACGATTGTTCCCGAAAAACTTCTATAAGGCAAGGTAAATTCAAATTTTTAAGGTTATGTTGATTTTTTTACCTATCAAAGTTTTACAACTGTAATTTATTATATATTTTGTTTCAGTGACAAAGACCATCCAAAGACTACTTCAAAATGATCTATTTTGTACTCAATTGTAATACTATGAAGCAAGAAGCCCAAGCGTGTTTTACCATATTAATACCCAAAACATATAAAGTTTTCGTTGGGCCACCTTATATAAATTGTGAAACTGAATAAAGAATTTATAGGGAAGATGAGCTAAATCTAAATAGATAGGTTTCTCAACATTGTTATAATGCTATAGCTACATTCCTCTATATAGTCTAAACAGTAACATATAAGTAAGAGATTAAAGAAACTTTAATCAAAAAGATAAAACAAAATATTCGTGTTTACGTCTTTAGATTGACTTCTACTTATATTATTTAGTTTGTTTTTTAAAATTTTCAAAACCAAAACGTAACAAATTATATTTCTAAATTCAAACTAAACATATTTCCACGTGTGTTCGTAAATATAAATAAGGAATAAAATATCAAGCGCGCTACTGATCCAGAAAGTATAATCGATTTAAAATAATAAACAGAAAAAATAAGTTTCATTTTCATTACATATTTACTACGTTTGTAATTTAAAAATAGCAATTTTTTCTGTTTAAGAAAAAACATTAGTTTATTGTTATTTTTTGTTAATATATAAATACCTATACAGAGTGTCCCAATAGTGTATGGAAGTTCGATACTATATTATAGAAAATATCAAACAATGTTATTTACAGAAGTTAGAGATAACACACTTTTGGGACACCCTGTATATCATAATATTTATTGAAAATTATTATTAAAGGCAGTTTTATTAATATCACGCAAGTAAACGATTTAACATTTTTATTATTAAATCTGTAGTTACAAAATATTTATATGTATTATATAGTCTGTCAATATAAGTAATATTGTTAATATAGATATCAATGTTTAAGGGTCCAGTGACGGGTCCCTGGGTCAGCCTACCTTGTAGCGCTCCTCGAGCGATGATGCCCAGGCCCGACAGTCATGGGCCTGCCTCTATCTTCCAACATAGGACTCCCTAGGTCCTCTTCCCTATAATACGGCGACGAGTGATGATACCCGCTATAACCGTGCTCCGGAGAATTATTCCCCGATCTCGTCTGCCTCAAGGGTTTTCGACCTAGAGGACTGCCACCGGGGTAGGCCCGGCTGGGGGAACGGTCCACCGTAGGCAGCCTCACGCCTCGCGGAGACCGGGTGCCCCCCACATACGCGTCACGGGACATTTCATGACATTTTACAGCATTTCAGGACATTGTCGCACACTCGGGACACACAGCAGAAGATGTCCGACAAGCTCTCGTCCTCGGTCCGCGCCTCACTCGGCCACTCTGTACACTGGACTGATCAATGAAACGGGTGTAGTGTGTAGATGCGCACGCATCGCACACGCGACACCTACACTCCGCCAAGGGCGGAGGATGTGGGTTATAGGGACGGTCGCTCGGGATCAACGTTGATAATTTCGGGGAACGCTTTGTTGTGTTCACTTCAGATGACTCATTCATGTACCAGTAAGGTATTGATTTCAGATTTAAGATAATAACCTATTGCACATGAAAGTAGATATAGTTACAAAAATATTTAAAAATGCTCTATAAATTTTGTGAGATTTAATTTTAAAGTTTTAGGGATTGATACTTCCTAAAAATTATAATGTTCTGTAAATGAAAAATATCTATTGATCTAAATAATATTTTTATTAATTAATAAAATAAATTTAAATAATTATATATGTTTCTACCATTGCTAATACATTCATTATTAGGCGTTTTTTATAAATTACCTTAATTTAGTTGTGACCATAGGCGTCGTCAGAATTTTCTCAAAGGAAAAACAAAGGTAAAAATTTGTGTACACTGAGAAAATTCGACTTATACAAGTATTTACCTAAGATTTTTGACTTGTCATTACTTAATATCTAATAATAGCAAGTTGTTAAAAACCTGCCATTATTTTATTGATCTTTCTGTAACCATTGTATTACTCTTATTAGATAAACATTTATCTTTAGTTTACAATTATTTAGCAGTTATTCAATCAGGAATAATCGTTAGTTGGCATTCACTAAAAATAATTCTAAAAAAAAAAACTTGCAGTTATCTTTTAAATTTTAATACCGTCATCTACTATAGTCTATTTTTATGTATGAGAGAGTAATAAAACAGCATTTCTAATGCAAAACTTAGTACGGTCATTTTAAATATTTTTACAGAATAATCTAAATATTTCCTAAAATTGTAATAAATGTACCTAAGCTATTACAAGTTTTGGGTCTTTTATTGGTCCTTTATAAACATAAGCTGTACAGAACAATAGAAAAAGGTTTGGACAGGCCAAAAGCCCTGTGTATTAAAGATTACATAGCCGTATCTTAAGATTATTTTCAATAAGTACCTATTTGCCAATTTTGCTTTATTTTAATTCCAAGAATTTCTTACAGTAATCGAATTATAAGTAGATAAATACCTTCCCAACAAATTTCACCGAAAATGCGATTATAGGTTTTCCATTTATTAAGAAGGTCCAAGTTGTGTATTCTTGACAGTTTACTAAATGTCGTTTAGTTGCAACTTGCAAGGTGCAGTGTGAATTCTAGTGTGATCATGGAAAATTTGGAAGGGCCCCGTAAACGACAAAAAATCGGTCCTTTAACAGTTAATGAAAAAACATTAATATTTAATTGTTTTAAATCATTTACAGACAAACATTTATGTAAAAGTGTTGATGACACAGTGAAATTAGTTAGTAGTACGCTTGGTGTTGAGAAATCTACGATTTACAGAGTTGTTAATAAAGAGAAATGTGGCAAGTTTCAAACAGCACGTAAAGCTCCAAGAAAACCAAAATTTCAATTAGAAAATCTTTTGAAAGAAAGACTTCGAAGGAAAGTGCATGTGTTCTTATTTAGAAAAATTTCCGACAGTAGACAAAGTTCTTGCACGGTTCGAGATGATAAGGATTACCCTGAAATGAGTCGAAGCACACTATGGAAACTTTTAAAAGAAATAGGTTTTCTATGGAAAAAGCATTCCAGAAAGTCTATTTTAATAGAAAGAAGCGATATTGTAGTATGGAGAAGAAATTACCTAAGGACTATAAAAGAAATGAGAAACCAAAGAAGAAATATTTTTTATTTAGATGAAACATGGATCAACGAGGGACATAAACCAAATAAATTTTGGCAAGATGAAACTGTTACAAGTCGAAGACAGGCTTTTTTAAATAATTTATCTACTGGTTTAAATCCACCATCAGGAAAGGGGCGCAGACTAATAATAGTACACATCGGTAGTTCAAACGGTTTTGTTAAAGGTGGTTTATTGACTTTTGAATCTACTCGTACCGGTGACTACCATGAGGACATGAATGCTGATGTCTTTAAAGAGTGGTTCGAACAGATTATAGATCTTCTTCCTCAGAACTGTATAATAGTAATGGATAATGCAAGTTATCACTCGAGACTTATAGAAAAAATGCCCATAACCAAGTGGTTAAAAAAAGATTTACAGAATTGGCTAAATTCAAAGAATATTAAGTTCCATCCCGGTTCTGTGAGAAAAGAACTGTATCATTTGTGTTCCCTCATAAAGAGAAATTCAAAAAATATGAAATTGATGAAATTGCAAAAAATCGTGGGATGACGGTGGTTAGATCACCACCATATCATTGCGAAGTAAACCCGATTGAACTGATATGGGCACAGATAAAGGAAGAAGTTTCAAGAAAAAATAATTATTTTAAAATGAGTGATGTTAAACAGTTGTTTTTGGAGGCTGTAAATAATGTGAAGCCTGAAAACGGGGAAAAAGCAGTAAATCATACGATTAAAGAAGAAGAGAAAATGTGGAAGTTGGACAATATTACTGATGAAATGATCGAGCCACTCATTGTAAACATTGGTTGCGACAGTTCATCTTCTGATTTCCATTCTGATTTGGATTTGTAGGTAAGAAGTAGTTTTTATATTAAAATTATTATTTATGAACGTAACGTTGTTTAAAAGTCAAAGTTTAAACCCTTATACCTACATAACCCGTTTGACACAATGTTCTTGACATACCTTGTGGAAAAATAAAACATTTTAGAAAAAATTGCACTTTTTTATCTTCAGCTGTTTAGAAGCTATAAGCAGGTTAATTAGGTGAAAATATAGGTGTATACTCGAGGAATAACTTCAAAAATATTTTAACTGTCTACTAAAAGAAGTGATACGCCTATGGATTACGAACGCTTTATTATTTTAATACTCTCTCATACATAAAAATAGACTATAGTAGTAATAACAACATACAGTTTGTTCGCTATACTTACGCGGGTTTCAGATTAACAAAATTATGCAAATTAGTAATTGACAACCAGTTCCAATAAGTCTCTTCCCAAGAAATTAGGTAAAATTGCCCTAATGGTCAGATTTAAATTAAAATAACATTAGAGTAGGTACTAAATTTGTAAATTTTTATAAATATGATGAAGTTTGTTTCTTTCTGTAATTGAGTTAATGATACCCCCGGTTACCCATTGTTACCTTTTACAAAATTTGTTGTTTTCACTAATAACTTTGGTATTTCTATTTACACGTTTAATGTGTTTACTAAATAACTAACTTTTTCATTTAAATTATTTATGCTATAAAAGTCTTCCCAAATGTGGTTCTGAATATTTTTTTTGTAACTTTTTATAATTAATCTTCTTGAAAAATTACTTTTTTTTTTAGTTGTCTAGGAGATGTATTTGTTAATATATTATGTTCTTACGTATGCTAGTGTTTAGATAAAAAAGTATTATGTAATTTTAGGTGTCTATTTAAGATAATGGTAAATAAAGTATGTATTTAAAAACTATTGTTTTATTTACATGTGATTATATCCAACGTCACACAAAATATAAATTGAGGATTATTATTTATTATTAGTGTTGCATTTTTACATTGCATTGTTTATATGTCCTTGCTTATATGCAATGAAAAATAATTTAAATGTCAATCAGTTTAAGTTAATAAATATAGGGCATGCCATTTAAAATAATATTATTCAACTGTAAGTCGAATTCAGTTAGACTAAATGATGTTATGGAAAATTTGCATTTTATTATATATACATTCTTATTTTAAGATCACCCTTTATAATCCAAATTATTTTAAATTTCTAGTGTAAATGTATATCCCTAAAAAACTTAATTATTAAGCAGAGAGAGAGACTAGTATAGGAAGTACCACCCTGTAGAAACCCACTCATCCATCAGAATATTAAATTCTATTTTATAGGATTTTTTTTTACTTGGAATATTTGGGTTTGCGAGATTGGAATAACGAGTTGTCTAGATTTTAATACCAAACGAAAAATGTGGGTTAAGAGGTCAGCCAGGATGAATAACGATATATCTGGAACGCTCTGTTTAATTTTAAGACTCGTATAACAAATTTTTATCGCCTACAAAAAAAAAAAACCCAATTCTAGGAACGTGAAGAACGTCTACTTAAAAAAAAACGTTTACTGAGGATAAATGTGAAGGACAGAACAAAGGCATTAACAAAACAAATGTATTGTCATTATCAGATGAAAAGAGAATTTGGAATGAACAGCCTTACTTCTAAATTTAAAAATAATAGGAGTAATTATTTATTTTTATATAGTTTTTGCAAAAAATAGTATTGTATAAAGGAGAATATTTTAATGCATTTTAAAGAAACAATACTAAACATTGGACCATTGAAATCGCCTTTATTGTAGCGATACAGTGGCGGTCATATCACTTAGCGAAAGGGTAATCATTTATCACAGATTATATTACAGATTGCACCATTAAACTAATCATAAAGAGCATACATTCACGTGAGGAATATCATTCACATATCTTTCATTACCTTATCAATTGTATTTGCAGGTGACAAACATTTATTCTTGACATCCGAAGGCCATAACTTCCCGTAAGAGAAGTCTGAACAAGTCCTCCCAAAAAGAGATAGAATGTAGTTAACCGACAGATGAGTAGATGAGCAACGAGAGAGCTGACGCAGTACTTCCAAAATCGCTGATAGATGGCGCCACCTGTGAGTGGTGTACAATTGTAACTCTGCTAATTGGTTTGCGACTCGGCTAAGCAATTCATGGTTTACGTGAACGGATATAGATAATAGTTGAATAGAAAATTTATTTTCATAAAAGACATTTTATTTTCCAGGTCGGAAGAAATTTCATCTTATAAAGAAGCAACTTTACTTCTTAAGGAAGTAGTATCATTTCTATCAAAAGAAACTTTAGTTTTTATGGAAGAAATATCAGAAAAAACTTTATTTTCTAAGAATGAGACCTTACTTTCCGTAGAAGAAATGAA